GTAGTTCTTCATTATCTTTGAAAATCGACTACACCGACTAGAAGTAGAGGCATGTACTGAAGCAAAGTCACTATGTCTTTATCATGCCAATAGGCCGATGTGCCCAGAAAATAGACAACAGGAGGAGCAAGTCACCGACTCTGAAAGCATAAAAAATATTCAATATTTAGTCCACTACTCAATATGAAGAGCTATTTGTTCAAACAAGATAAATATGTGAGCTTTTTCTAACTATAGGGGATTGGCGTAGCTTACTACTGTTGTTGAAATGGGTTAGCAAGTATATGTCGCTTTTTATTAGGAAAGTGAAAAAGAAACTCTTTGATGTTGGGCCTATTCCTGTGGTAGTGAGAACTTTTTTTTTAATTTACTACAAGCATCAGATATTTTGTTATGAGAGAAGTTGGAGAGTACCTAATACGTTTGAGGCACTATTTCATTTGCAATGCTGGGCAACCATGAAAAAATTGGAATTGAAGTAATCATGCTACATCTATTCAAGTGTGTTACTTTTATGCATATCAATTTACAATGTACATCCACCATTAGCTTTGGTCCTGTTTCTTCCTCTGAAGTTGGCTTGGTGATGTTTGTGTCCTTAACAAAATATGAAGCCTTTGGAGCTTGCCAGGACACACATTTCATATGAATTGCTGATTATAAGAGGTGATGGTGTGGTTTGAGTTTTCATGTTTCTGGGTGTACTTGTACAACTCAATCCAAAACAAATGTAAGCCGGTCATTATGAATATTTTTAGTACTACATGTCGGGTCCTGTGTTTTGCAATTAAGGTTTTATATTGGTAATAAGGAATATTGTGTGCTATTGACCCATTGTGTCGTAAAATATATAACCATAGTAACTCAGGTTCCGCGCAACATATTTCAGCAATAAAGGTGTGCCTTCATATAGAGATCGTATGACAAGTGTGGTCAACTACCTCATTTTATTTTTACATGTTCCAGAACTTAGTAGTTTTTCCTGCCTATAATCATTTGAATTATGTGTATTCCTATTTTTTTTAAAAGAAGGATCCTCTGTATTCATAAAGGTGGAAAGAGAGACACATGGAAGGAGCACATCACCAAAAATGTTTCACGCACAAAGGCATAAGAGACTGCATGTCTTATCTTCCTGCTATTTGCATGTTGGACACTGAGACAACCAACTAACAATTTTTCTGGGTTCACTTGAACCAACTATCAATGAGCTCCACAGTGTCCCTTACAACCGCTGCGTTTGTGAGTTGACCTGGATTCAGAAAGGTGCCTCTGGTTCTCCTAATTCGTAATATGCACAGTTTGAAAGATAGACCCATTTAAAAATAGATACAGACATGCTTTTATGAAAGCACACAAAAGGTTTCTTTTGAAGATTTATAAATGGAGGTTACAATGATGCATCATTCAGGACTACCGGTAATAGAGAAGGCACTCGGTCCTCCAAGCAATACTCCCTATCCAACTACAACTCTCCCAAACGAGCGCAGTAACTGAAGGCATAGTCACTTCTTGACCATCTGTGTCCATGGTCCAGACAACCACCTGTAGCAAAGCACGGGCACATTTACTATATAAATATACACATACATATACAATACCCTTATAACGTATGAAGTCTTTGCTCAAATAAGCTACATAGCAACTCAACTTTGCACGTAGCTTTGCCGTCATTTGTACGGGCATTTGTACTAGTTAATATTGAAAATGCTGAGGTTGGGGGATTCCTGGATACATTAGAATGTGCTGAGGGATCTTTCCCCATCAAATATCGGGGTATTCCTCTGCACTATGATAAGCTTAGGAGAGAGGACATCCAACCACTAATTGACAAGATCATGAAAAGGATTGCTGGCTGGAGGGGTAAACTTCTTTCTTGAAGAGGGAGAATAATCCTCATCCAAGCCTGCCTGGCTAGCATCCCTATTTATTTGTTGTCTTTCTTTAAATTCCCTAAATGAGCTATAGACATTATAAACACCCAGATGGCAAATTGCCTGTGGAATGACTTTGAAGGCCACAGGAAATTGCACTTAGCTAACTGGAAATTAATCTGCATGAAAAAGGAGTTTGGAGGCCTAGGCATTCCAAATCTGCAAGACATTAACCTTTGCCTTCTAGGGTCTTGGGTCAAAAGATATTATGAAGGAGAAGGGAAACCTTGGAAAATGATTGACCAAAAATATATGAGGGGCAAGACCAATCTTTTTGCCCCTGGCTCCTCCACTAGTATCTCTAGATTTTGGAAAGGTGTCAAATCCATCATCCAAGCTTTGAAGTTTGGATATAGATGGAATATAGGAGTAGGGGATAAAATTAGATTCTAGGAGGACACTTGGTTTGGTACATCCCCACTAGCAGTCCAATTCTGGCACATCTACATGATTTGCAATGAGCAGAACAAGAGTGTCAAAGAGGTCTGGGATGGTGAATTACTGAAACTTACATTTAGAAGGAACTTTGATGATAGGATGATGGAGCAGTGGTATCAGCTGACAGAGATAGTTAAAAACATTAGCTTCAGCAATGACCCTGACTCCCTGATTTGGCAACTTGAAGACAAAGGGGTTTATTCATCTAGCTCCCTGTACCATGTGATCAACTTTAGAGGGGTGAAGCCTCTATTCCTACCCGCGGTGTGGAAACTGGCAGTGCCACCCAAAATTCATGTTTTTCTTTGGCTGTTTTCCTAGAATAAGCTTATGACTAGGGACAATCTAAGGAAAAGACACATAATCAAACCCCTAGACTGTGTTTTCTGTGCTGAGAATGAGACTAATCACCATCTGTTTTTTTATTGTGTTGTAGCCAAAAACATTTGGTCTTTTGTAAGTCATTTCTTCCAAAAACCCGTGGGCACAAATTTTGAATCAGTGGCCCGCTTCTGGATTTCTAACAAAAAACATGGAGCTTTAAATATAGTTAGCTCAGCTGTCCTGTGGTGCTTATGGAAATATAGGAACTCTATGATTTTTAATAACACCATCTGGACTTCTATTACTCAGGTTTGGGGGCTGATCCACAGAATGATCAAATTCTGGGTGATTCTAACCCCGGAGGTGAACAAGGCCCTGGTGGAAGCCTTCCTGGAGGCATTGAGAAAGCTGCTCCAACAACCTTTGATGATCCTGAGTGGCAGAATATGAAGGGCACGCGGTTTGACGGCGGTGCAAGCTGGGGGAACCTCAAAATCTCCGACGATGAAGGCTTCCTCTCCCCAGCCAAGAAAAGGGACACCAACGACAAGAATGCGATGCCCAACCCAGTGTCCACGCTTGCGATCTGCTGGTTTCCTCAAGCGGCTCTGGCGCCCCCGCTCAAGTTCAGAAAGGGTGTTGGTGCGATCGTGATGTGAGCTGCAAGATGGACTCTTGTAGCCCTGCATACCTTTGCCTGTTTTATCTTCCTCTACCTTTAGTCTGTCTTGTTAGCCTCGCTTTCAAGCTTGGTTTGTAATAAATTCTTGGACCTCGAGACAAGTAGCTGGTAGGTTCTAAGAAAACAAACGCTGTATGGTTTCATTCTGAGTTAATGGAGCCGGGGAGAGGCCTCCCTGTTCATCGAAAAAAAAGTTCATTGAATTTGAAAAGAGTTCATAAAATTTGAAATTGGTTCATCGAATTTCAAAAAAAGTTCATTGAATTTGAAAAGAGTTCATAAAATATGAAATTGGTTCATCGAATTTCAAAAAAAGTTCATTGAATTCGAAAAAAGTTCATCAAAGTTAAAAAAAGTTCATCGAATTTGAAAAATTTTCATTGATTATGGAAAAAGTTCATTGAATTGTAAAGAAAAAAGTTCATGTATTTTTCAAAAAAAACGTGAAGAAAGAAAATTTCTCGAATTTGGAAAAAAATGAAAAAAGGAAAAAATGAAAGATGGAAGAAGAAAGGGGAGAAAAGATGCCAATTTTCATAGTAGCCTAGGCGGCGCGGTGGTTGTTGCAATGCGCCAAATAGGATTTGGCAAAATCGAGGGCCCTTGGAATTGTGGGGCCCTGTGCGGTCGCACAGCCCGCACAGGAACAGATGGACCGGCCCGTTAGTAGCGAAGGAAAGGCAGGGGATGTGCGCCCGTCTGTGAAAACGTCTGTATCGGGCGCAAAAGGCGCCAAATAGGATTTGGCAAAATCGAGGGCCCTTGGAATTGTGGGGCCCTGTGCGGTCGCACAGCCCGCACAGGAACAGATGGACCGGCCCGTTAGTAGCGAAGGAAAGGCAGGGGGATGTGCGCCCGTCTTGTGAAAACGTCTGTATCGGGCGCAAAAGACGCCAAATAGGATTTAGCAAAATCGAGGGCCCTTGGAATTGTGGGGCTCTGTGCGGTCGCACAGCCCGCAGGCCCTTGGACGGCCCTGCCCATCGATGTGGCGGCTGAGCTTGGTGTGGTTTCACTGGTGATTGAAACTGATCCCATGCTGATTGATCAAGCTCTCAATAGACGTACCCCAGATTTCTCAAGAGAAGCCCACGTCATTGAAGACGTCAAGGTCCAGACTAGACTTTGGTTTACCTCCTGTGAATTTGTCCACTGTAAGCGTGATGCCAACACGCCTACTCATTGCCTAGCTAAACTAGGTTTATCTATTCCTATTGGAGAGGGTCTTGTTTTAGATGATAATGTTCCAGCTTGTATAGCTGAATCTGTATTGGGTGATATATTTAGCCCAGAATGTTTCGTAATAAAGCTTGATGCTTTCCTTTAAAAAAAAAAGGCAACCCACCCCCACCCCCCGAAATCACCAAACGCTCCCTTAATTGATTGTCCCACAATGCTTTCTTGAACAAAGCTCTATAATGTTTTCCTGAAAAGAAAAGGAGAAAGTGGTCCTGGTACAGGGAGAGGGGAGGGGGAGAGGGGACAGGGGAGAGGGGGGAGAGGGGAACGACGAGTGGGTCCCGCATATACCAGGCGCCGCTCCCCCCAAATCGAGGGCAATCCTCGCGTTTGTTCCCCAAAATCCCTAGCGAGTCTCTCTGCTTCATCCTGCATCCAGCGCAATGGAACGGAAAGAGGTCATGGACCTCGGCAGCGGCGAGCCCAAGGAGATCATGGACCTCATCAGCGGCAAGCCGATGGAGACCATAGGCCTCGGCAGCGGCAAGGTCGAGGACTATCCCTCCGTGAGGCGGCTCCGCAACCGGCGGCTCCTCCTCTACCTCCGGCTCCAGGGCTTCGACACTGCCTACGATAGGTACGCCGGCCCGCACGGCCGCCCGTCGTTTCACTTGATCGTCTCCTTGCCGCTAATGCGCTCCTGCCGTGCATGCAATGCAGCGTTGTGCGCGAGTCGGGTGTGCAGATGAGCAAGCTACATCTGCGGCAGCTGCTGATCTGGGGCCGGTGGAGCGAAGCCCTCAACTACATCAGGCGCTTCCTGCCGCCGGCGTCCAAAGACCGTGGCCGCGAGGCCCGTTCCCTCCTCTTCTTCCTCAACATGCTCTGGGCCCTGGACAACGTCGCCGCGTGCTCCAAGAGCGGCCTCGTGAGCGACTCTGCGCACCGCGACCTCCGCTTCCTGACGTCCCTCTGCAGTCGCAGCGCCAAGCTCCCCTCCATCCTCCGATACACGCTCCAGCCGCCGCAGTTCAGGTACGTACGTGCCTAATAAAATACTCCAGCACAGGGACATGCTTTCTGCAGTAGTGTACATGGAGTAGTTCGAAACGCTTTTCTACTTGTTATTGTTTAGCCTCAGATGAACCATGTCTGGCAGGGAGTCTCTGGACTGGATGCTGGTGAGGGAGAAGGCATCGTTGATTGTCGAAGCCTGGGCTCTTGACACTCCGGAATTGAGGCGCAACTTACAATTGCCTGCCGGCCCAGGTCTCCCGCGGGACGTGCTTCCCATCGGGTGAGTTACTGTATTCCTTCATCCACTGTTTGGTCCACGTTCCAGCACAAACTACATGTCAATCTGTTCATCCCACCAATGATTCTTGTTTAATTTGCCAGTCCCAGTCGTCCAAGGCGCCACCGGAGGGAACGATACCGGCGGGCAAAAGCATCTACAATTGCCAAGTCCTATCTCAACAGGAAGAGGAGGTACTTGCAACTTTGATTAATTGCCAAGTCCTCAATTCCGCAGTGCTGTCTCTGAGTTTTCACTTGACATTCACACATATTCCTTGCTTCTTGCAGCCTGCTGTCTTCAAGTCCACCTCCTGGTATGAGATCTTCCTATGAAAGCAGCATCCCTCTCCTAAACTCCGCACATGTACGGCAGTTAATGTTTGCAATGTTTTGAATGGCAGGATTGCTTGATGATGCACTCAACTGGATGGCTGATCTTATTGGTAAATCTAGTCTCTGACCATCTAATTCCAGTTTGCAAAGAAAATAGTATGCGCTAATATTTATTTGCTTCTGTTGCTTCGTTTGCGGAAATCTCTTTGGCTATGTGAGTTGCTGTGTGCTGATAAACTCACTTGTTAACATTTAGAGGGATGTTTAAAAGCTGGTAAAATTCCGGAGCTCCATCAAGAGCTGCCACTTCAGTCAAATGGAAATGAAGGTAATTTAATTAATTCACATTTTTCTGACCCTTATATTATGCTGGTGTGAAGCTGAGTTAACTCATCTGACTTTGGCGCCTTGTATCTTGCTTGTTAATTTTCTCATTCATCTTTGTTACAAACTACTTTTATGCTCTCACTGCACACATTTTATCATTGTTGCTTTTGTATTCCTAGGCTAGGTTTATACATGGAGTATTTCATTGAAGTGGCTCGTACACCATGTTTTGTTCAGCTCATTCCTAAGCTAAGTTCCATATTCTGTTATTCTTCTGTTGGTTGCTCACATGTTATGTACGTTATCTATGCACATGGGCATGGTAGTTCATAACAGCACTCCAATGCAATTAAGCTGGACGTTGTTCTTTGCACGTTATCAATGCCGGGAACCGGCTGTCATCTCTAACTGCTTAACTGAGTTAACATATGAAATCATACTTCTTTAGAGAAGTCCAGATGTTCTAGTGAAGGGCTATTTACACCATTGTAATGTGATAAATGAGATATATGCCTTATTAGTTCTAGGCTAGAAACATTTACCGTAAGTCCTCTGTTATGCCACTTCTAACGAACTGCTTGCAGGTGCTTCTGGTTCTCCACTTTTGCAGACCATGTTTAGTACCGTGACAAATCCTTCTAAAAACCCTGGGATCTCATCAGTGACAAATGCAGGTAAATTAGTTGGAACTTGGAACATAGTTCTTGGCAACATGTCGTCGTTTCTAACCGCAAAATTCGTTTCAGGTGTTCCAAGTTGCACAGGTAGGCCTAAATGTACTTGGTGCTCATCAGTTGCATTTTCAGGTGAAGTATTTTAAATTCGTGGAACCCTATAATGGCTCAGTGTTAGAGAACACCAATGAACTAATCAATAGGTTATAAGCATAATTTCTAACTCTTCACAGGTGGTGCAATCTCACAGCCTTTTAGAACACCTTGGATCACATCTGCCTCAAATGCAGGTAAGTTAACTGAACACCCTCAACAGTTTTCCATACCATGTTGAAACTCCATCTGCACATACTGATACCTGAAATTATTAGTATTATTAGTTGTCACTTGTCAGAGAAACTCCATCACTGTTAATAATATTCTACCTGCCGTGTTCTGTAACCACCATGTTGATATGCTGCTGGCCTCTTACCAGTTGGTTCTATTGCAAACTATTTTCTGAAAACCGTGGAGGTTTTCTGATTCTTGCAGTTGTCAGCTGCTTTCTTTCTTCTATTTCTGTACACCCATAATAGTTGCGAGATTGCACTTGAATCTGGGGACTGATTAGCGTATGTACCGCAAACCGTATGCTACATGGACATGCTCACTTTTATGGTATCGATCTAGATAATGTTCCACCATCTCATGAAAAATGTAAGTGAGTTGAGTTTAGCCTCTTGATTTCTGATCTTAAATGCCCTTCCGACACATTCTGAAATGTTGACTGTTAAGAGAATATTATGTGTGAAGATTGAATCAAGAAGTGCTGATAATACTTACTCTGGCGATCCTAAATGGTATTGATGCTTGGGCAGGCCCAATCAAGCATTCTGTTGGAAGGAAAAGGAATTCAGGAGAAGTTTTGGTCACTGCCGAGGAAGATAATCCTGATAGGAAAAGGCAACTGACTGAACTGGTAATACATAGTACTTTTTTTTTCACTCTACATAGTTTCCTGCTAAAATATCCAATCTTACTAAATAATTTACTGGTCCCTGATGTTTTGCCAAGTACTTCACCACTTACCAGTAGGTTTTGCCTTTCTCCATCCACAAGAAATATCGGCACCTTTCTAGCTTTGTAATGTATCTGTTTCTGGCAAGCAAAAATGCAGCTAGCTATTTGGGCACTAATAACTTGATGGAGTATTTGTTGGAGTGCAGGAGTTGGTGACTGAAGTGGAAGCTGGATCTTGCAGCGCCAACTTGATGGCTAACTGAGCGGGCATTACTCGTGGCGCTCCTTCGAGTCGATTTGCTGCCTACTGTGTTGGAGCACCGAGCTATGCTATGTTACAAACTTGAGATTTGCATGTCTCCTAGCTAGAACTACTTTTGGTAGTGTTATGTTATCACCATGGAGAGCGACATTACATCCGTGTTTCCAAGTGCTTGGTGTCGTGTGTTAAGTTGTAAGGGGATCATGAATCAGAACTAAATCAGATTTATTATATATTTTCGTTTGTTTTTTCTTTGTTTCCAGTGATGCTTATTGTTGGTTGAGTTCTTCTGAAGAACAATAATAATTTTTTACAATTCTTGCTAAAGTTCTGCTGTTTATTCATTTACACTTGCTGTTGGAGAATACATTGTTTGTGAACTGGTTGTAGATAGAGGCCTTCACGTTCTGCACTTAGAAATCATTGTTTGTTTTGTCCTTACTGTTTCATTACAGATTTTTTTTGTCCCCATGAAGCTTGATAATGGATTAATGATCTATTGCTTATCATCTTTGTCCTTGGTTATTTAGTACTGCCTCAGTTGTCCTAAATCAAAGACACTTATTTTGGGACGGGGGGAGTAATTATTACTGAAACTTATGCCATAGTAACCAGAAATAGCAGTTACTAGTTTTGTGGTTCTTATCGTTTTTCTCAACTAGTCTTGCTGTTCGTCATGCTCTCACTGACCTGAGTATGGCTAGTGATCATCGCCTTGCCGTTCATCTTATTGGGAGCCTTTTGCCTTTTTCATGAGAATCAGAAGCGTTTTAATTTGGCCACAGTAACTCCACTAGTAGAATTAGTAGACCAAAGTGGTGTGTACCTTACTTGTTCTGTGTTAACGACCTAGGACTAATTTATTAGTTTTGGATTTATATTGCTACTTTTGTGCTGTGTTCAAATCTCTGTGGAAAGTTAACATCTGCAGAGCAGAAAGGTCTTGTTTTCAGGAAAGTTAACCAGTCCATTTCAGAGTTACTTGATTATTTATATTCTTGTTAGTGGTTGAATAATCACGTCTGGAGCACCATAAGCTTTGAAGTAGTTGAACATAGGCAGCTTCTCCGCGTTTTCATTTGGTGCCCCATAGCTCAAGTTATAGCTGAGATGACTCCTTTTTTAGAAAATAACGATTACCCCCAGCCTCTGCATCAGAATGATGCAAGCATCTATATTTTTAAAACAAGCGGTCACAAGTACGCACAGCTGAGATGACTGGTAATCATAAATCTTTGTTCGTGTTCCGCTATAGTTGCATGTGAATTGAGAATCAGCACGCTGAAATGGAGCTATAATTTTTAATGTAGCATTCATATCACTATATCAGCCTGAAAACGGTTTGTGCTGTAGATAGCGTGCCTACATTTCGGTGTAGGAAGGAACACATGTTTTGTTTTAAAGTGCTGATATTATTCGTGAGTGGAGAATTTAAAACATGCTGGGGATACTCCCTTTGTAAAGTAATATAAGAGCGTTTAAAACACCGAAGTAGTGATCTAAATGCTCTTACATTACTTTACGGGGGCGGGGGCGGGGGGTACTTAGCAAAACATCAGGGAGCAGTGCATTGTTTGGTAAAAGAACTGGTGAAAGTGCAACCTAGATAAATGTTCATGGAAGTAAATGATTTAACTTCTCCAGTCACGCGTCCTATGTAAAGCAAAAAAAAAAGGACCACTTATACTAAGCCTTATGGATTTAGTCCATTGCCGCCTTCTATCAGGATTATGTTCCTCAACAGTTATCAAATCTTCTCCTGGATTCTTTCTTCCAACGGAACCCTGACGATCTTCTCTTCTTTCGCCGTAGCAGGCCGGAGCTCTGCACACCAGTTAAATATAATAAGAGTTTATGTACGCGGGGAATCTTAGGGGATAAAGGTCAGAAAAATCTGGCTAAAAACATAAGAAATATACAGCCCCTGAAAGAGGGGTCAAAAGCCAAAATGCAAAGGTCGATTGCTTCACACCCGAGAGAGGGGAATACTATCTTCTCTCAGGTGCTTGGTTGGGGCTGTAGAGGAATAGGATGCAACTCTCAATGTATTGATAGGTGCATATGCACAAGTATATATAGTACATAGGGCAAGTCATATCCTCAACTATACACAAGGAGGAGACTTGAAGTATAAGAATACATGTGTTAAATACATATCTCAACACCCCCCTGCAGTCGAAGCGACACCGTTGCTGACGCAGAGACTGGACCGAAATTCCTCGAAGGACGTCGTGGGCAAACCTTTGGTCATGATGTCGGCAAATTGTTGGGAGGTGGGAACGTGCAGAACACGGACATGGCCAAGAGCCACCTGATCCCGAACAAAATGGATATCAAGCTCAATGTGCTTGGTGCGACGATGATGAACCGGGTTGGCGGAGAGGTAGACGGCGGAGAAGTTGTCGCAGTAGACGACTGTGGCCTTCTCAACAGGACACGAGAGCTCGTGAAGAAGCTGACGAAGCCAGGAGCACTCAGCAACAACGTTAGCCACAACGCGGTACTCAGCCTCGGCGCTAGACCGCGAGACGGTGGGCTGCCGCTTGGACGACCACGACACCAAGGATGGTCCAAGGAATATGCAGTAACCCGAAGTAGAACGACGGGTGTCCGGGCAACCAGCCCAGTCGGCGTCGGAGTAGGCGACCAGATCAGTGGCAGTGGAGGCGCGCAGAGTAAGACCAAGATCCATAGCACCGCGAATGTAGCGGAGAATCCGCTTAATGGCGGTCCAGTGAACATCTCGAGGAGCATGCATATGCAGACAGACCTGCTGAACCGCGTACTGAAGCTCCGGCCGAGTGAGAGTGAGGTACTGGAGAACACCAACAATGGACCGGTAGAAGCCAGCATCTGGAGCAGGAGTACCATCAGTAGCAGAGAGCTTGGCCTTCGTGTCGACGGGAGTGGCAGCCGGTTTGCAGTTAAGCACACCAGCACGGTCAAGGAGCTCATGAGCGTACTTCCGTTGATGAAGGAAGAAACCATCAGGACGACGCACCACCTCAACACCGAGGAAGTAGTGCAACGGACCCAAGTCCTTGATGGCAAACTCAGCACGGAGACGATCAGTAAGCCGGCGAAGGAGCTCAGAAGTGCATGCCGTCAGGATGATGTCGTCAACATAGAGCAGCAAGTACGCCGTGTCGGTGCCCTGGTGATAAACAAACAGCGAAGCATCGGAGCGTGTAGAGCGGAAGCCGAGTTGGTGAAGAAACGCTGTGATGCGCTGGTACCAGGCACGAGGAGCCTGCTTGAGCCCATACAATGAGCGTGAGAGCAGACACACATGATCAGGACACGCCGGGTCAACAAACCCCGTGGGTTGCTGACAGAAGACCTGCTCCTCTAGATGACCATGCAGAAAGGTGTTGGAGACATCCATCTGATGAACTGGCCAGGCACGATAGACCGCTAACTGTAAAACAGTGCGGATCGTCCCGGGCTTAACAACCGGGGCGAAAGTGTCGGTGAAGTCCACACCAGCGCGTTGCCGGAAACCACGAACAACCCAACGCGCCTTGTAGCGATCCAGAGTGCCGTCGGGACGAAGCTTGTGTTTAAAGACCCACTTCCCGGTGATCACGTTAGCGTGCCGGGGACGGGGAACAAGCTGCCAAGTCCGGTTCCGCTGCAAAGCGTCGAACTCCTCTTGCATGGCGGCCATCCAGAGAGGGTCGCGGAGAGCGGCCCGAACCGAGGACGGCAGCGGGGAAGGAGCGGACGTCGAGGCGGTGTAGACGTAGTCATCCGCATAGCGGGAACTCGGGCGAAAAACCCCGGTGCGCGAGCGGGTGACGGGCCCGACCGTCGGAGCAGCCGCGGGTGGCGGTGAGGCCGTGGCCTCCACGGCGTCCACGGGAGAGGCAGTGGCCTCCATGTCGTCGACGGGAGAGGCGGACCGAGCGGGAGTCGAGGCCGCGGCGTCGGGGAAGCCACCCGACGGGGCGGGCGAGGCGGGCGACTGAGGAGGGGTCGAAGCCGCGCCCGTAGAGGACGCACCAGGGGAGGCGGCGCCAGGGGAGACCGACCCAGCTGGCGGCCCATCATGCGGCCCAGCATGCATGGCGGGGGATCGGGGCGACGTAGGCGGCGTCGACGGGGCTCCAAGCGACGAGGGCGCTGAGCCGGAGGAGGGAGCCGCGGAGGGCCCCGATCCGGAGGAGGAAGCCGCGGGCGGGGGTGCCGGAGCACCCAAGGCCGGCAGCTGGCGACGGCGCGGAGGAGAGCCCGCCGTGGGAGGGGAAGACGGCACCACCTGTTCCTGAGCAAAGGGAAACACAAGCTCATCAAAGTACACGTGTCGTGACGTGATGACACGGTGAGACACAGGGTCGTAGCAGCGATAACCCTTAGTGTTGGCCGGGTAACCAAGGAAGACACATGGAACGGAACGAGGAGCTAGTTTATGAGCGGTGGTGGCGGTGGTGTCGGGTAGCAACGGCAACCGAAAATACGGAGACCATCATAGGAGGGAGGAGTGAGGCGCATAGTTCCAGCGCGTACGGCATGGCCGGAGATTGAGGAGGAGGGTGGCGGTGGTGAGGGCATCGGGCCAAAACCGAGAAGGCATGTAGGCATGGAAAAGAAGGGTGCGCACACACTCATTGAGGGTGCGTAGGATGCGCTCGGCACGGCCATTCTGCTAGGAGGTGTATGGGCACGTGAGACGAAACACGGTGCCGTGGGTGGAAAGGAGATGGCGGATGGTGAGATTGTCGAATTCTTTCCCGTTGTCGGTCTGGAGTGCGAGTATGGGTCGCCCGAACTGTGTGGAGACATAAGCATAGAATGCAATGAGAGTAGCGGCAACATCGGATTTCCTACAAAGAGGAAATGTCCACACAAAGTGAGAGTAATCATCTAGTATGACGAGATAATAAAGATAACCAGAATTACTGGGTACTGGAGATGTCCATACATCGCTATGAATTAACTCAAACGGAAAAGATGCAACTGTGGAAGAGGATCTAAAAGGAAGGCGAACATGTTTGCCTAACCGGCAGGCTTCACATGAGTGAGCGGCCATTTTATTACATGAAAACGAAAATCCTCTCATTATTTGACGAAGTGAAGAAGTGCTAGGATGCCCGAGACGAGCATGCCAAAGATCGACGCCGGCGGAAAAAGCTCGAGGACCACCCGAAGATGACGGCGACTGAACTGGGTAGAGGTCGCGGGACTGTCACAACGGTGAAGAACCATCCTGATGCGAGCGTCCTTAACAGAAAAGCCAACTTCGTCAAATTCCACAGTTACGAAATTATCACGAGAAAGATTGCGAACAGAAACTAAGTTCTGAATGAGATGGGGAGAAACAATGACATTATTAAGAGAGAGAGGTCGAGAGTTAGAAGGAAAAGGTGCAGAACCAACATGAGAGATAGGAAGACCAACACCGTTGCCGATGATGATGCGGGAGGGAGTGGAAGTGGGATGAACGGAGGAGAGGTTACCCGGATGAGCGGACATATGAGCGGTGGCACCGGAGTCCATGATCCAATCGCCACCACCGCCGGAGTAGGGTGGCGGCTGCTGCAGTGCCGCTAGAAGTGCCGAGTCGTAGTAGGGGGCGCCGTACGCGTCGTAGGAGGGCGCGGCAGGGGGGGCGCCGTTGGCGCCGAAAGGCGCGGCCAGAAGCGCCTGGTGGGTGCTTGGGCGGGGGCC